GAATGGGGAAGCAAGCAGCTGAGCGAAGGGCTGGGAGGAAATGAAAGCTGCTGCAGAAGATACCGTGGGCCCTGCTCAGGGGTGGCAGTAAGGAAGGGCCCAAGCGCCACCTTCACCTGTCCACCACATGCTCACGCTGCCACCGTCCCTGCCCCCTTCTGGGAGGCCGGGGCCGGAGGGGAGGGTGAGGCAGCAGCAGAGAGAGAGAAGACGGGCTCTGGGCAAGTCTGCTCTCCTTGGCTTTGACCACTCACTAGCATCAGTCCCTCCTCTCAGGACGGGAGGAACATGCCCACAAGAGACGGACCACAAGGAACCGAGGCGTCTCCAACCTGCAGCCCGAGTCGGAGAGCCCGTAAGGATGGGAGCTTCGCCGTCCTGAGCTAGCTCCTCACCCCGCGTTATCAGTCCTGTGCTACCTCGGGCGCACTCAGCACAGCCGTGCCCGGAACCACCTCAGGCGTGCTTCTAGCATCTTGGGATCGGGCAGCACTGAGCTGACCCACTGAGCCACCTTCCGTGGAGGCGCCGGGCAATGGCTGTGGGAGCACCAGGTGACTTCATTTGAACAGACTTTCTCTCTGTGCCATTCCTGTTCCTCGGACCTAGTTAAAACTCTGGGGCACCAGTTACCCCCTCGCCCAGGAGACAGGCCACATAGTTTTTACATCAACCCACACCGACGTCAGACTCCAAAGCCACGCCAGGTGCTGCCGATGGATGTCCTTCCAGACTGACTCACAGGGGCCGCCGGGGAGGCCACTGTAAGGGACTCACCTTCCCAACCAGCAAGCTTACCTGCGGGAGGCCAGCGCCCACCACGGCTCCACTGTGGATCATGGGGCCTTCCTTCCCCACAAAGAGCCCTGGGGGCAGGTGGAGAAGGAGAAACAGTCAGCACAGAACCACTCTAGCTCGGAGACCTCTGCTGTGTAACCCTTCCTCTCGATAAAACAGAGATGCTCCTGTGGCCGTCTAACAGAAAGAGTCAAATTCCCACCGAATAAGAAAAAATACTCTTTAAACTCTTAACTGGGCATCAGCAAACTACAGCCTGCGGGCCAAACGGCTCACTGTTTTTGTACAGCTGGTGAGCTGAGAATAATTCTTCCATTCTCACCTGGATATGTTTTAAATGGTTATGTAAATTTAAGCACCTAAATAATATTTTCAATTTTGCCTCTTTGGCCCACAAAGCCTAAAACATTGACTATCTAGCTGTTTACACAAAAAGCTCACTGACTTTGCTAAAAGCCAACTCCATAAACCAACTGGATGGTGGGTCTACTTTAAAACCTAATGTGAGTTACTCAGAGAGCTCTGAATGGTAACTAACAGGTCTGCATTTAAGAAACTAAGCCACAGACAGAAAGTACAGAGATTTGTTAAAGGCAGGCCCTCCAATCCAAATCTACTTCATTTACACACAGAATGCTTCTTGTCCTCTTCACCCTTTGAAGAAAAGAAGGGAACACTCAGAAGAAAGATCTCCCTTACCTCCAGCCACACTGAACAGCACCCCGAAGACTTTGCAGACCAGGGTCCGGAGACGGACGATTCCGGGCACCTTCACCCCATTCAGATAGCACTTGATCTCGGGTATTCCAGAACCCGCTGCCACTGGCTGGAAGAGGAGGCACACCCGTCCATTCAAATCCATCGAAGTCCCCAAAGGGATGACCTGCTGGCCGGGGTTTCCGACTCAGCAGGCCTGAGGGCGATGGGAGGATGTGTACGTCTAAAACGTTCAGTGATTCAGCATCACCTGCGGGGCCTTCAACAATCCATGCAGGCACCCTGCTCCCGGAGATCCTGCGCTCGCTCACGTGAGCTGGGGCCCGGGGGCCAGTCATTTTTAAAGTTCTCCAGGGGATCCTACCCTGTGCTCCCCAAGGTGGAGAACCACCCTCCTCATCTGGATGTTTGCTCTTTAATCTCACCACAGGCTAACACTGACTTTCAGAAACATTTCTGAGTGAACGCGAGGCCACTTTCTGCAGGAATCTATACTCCAAGTCGAACTCAGTTCTCTCAGCTCCCAGGCATGGCGATGGAGATGAGGAGTGTAGGACCCAAAGTCTGGACAACAAAAAGGCCTCTTACCTCAATTAGGACAAGAAGACTCCCTAAGAAGACAAAGGTCAAGTTGAAACCCAGGAGTTCAAGGAGGGACAAGGCGAGGCACCCTTTCTGGCTGCACTCCTCCACCGCTAGAGAGTGAGTTAAGGAACCGTGCTCCCAGCCACACCAAGGCCTTTCCTGCCAACACCCGACATGGGGCAGCTCCTCCTCTTGAAGTGCTTGCTGCGCCTCCTCCTGCTCTCCGCGTCTGAACAAGAAAACTGCCTGAGACGTCATCTACACTAGGCACCGTTTCTCATTATGAAATGCTTCAAACATTGCGAAGAGTAACCCTCACCCGTACCTTCCCAGCCCTACCTTTAATACATCTCAGGATGGTAGCGTGTTTGCTCGATACTTTTAAAAATTAAAACGTTAAGAGAGCCCATTTTTGTGGCTGACCTGCTGCTCTCCCGTGCTGCTGGCAGTATTGGAATAAACCCTCATATATGATTCAACCCTCTCTGCTTAATTGGCTCAAGTAGTGACAGGCAGCCCAGACCCACTGATCGTCTGGTTACATATTCTGGTGACCAGGAAGGGACGTAAGCGAGAGACTCCTCTGGAATGAGTGTGCTTGCGGCCTGGACTGGGGGTTCCTGGTACTGAGGCCTGGACTCCTATGTGTAGCGCTGTCAGGAATGTTCATTTTGAGTTCCAGGCGCAGCCTCAGCAATCCCTGTCGTCTCACCTGAGACCTAAGTTGAACCAAGCGTTTTGTGTGGCATGAGCAGTGGCTGCCTCTCATCTGGGCTTCCTTGTAAGGATGTATGCACTGTGTATGGCACCGGAGGCATTTTACTGCCTCCCGTCTGGGCGAGCCTGGTCAGCTCCTGATGGTAAGGACCTCCAGTGGTCCTTGCCTGGTCTTCGAGCCCTTAGTCTGACCCACTCTGGCATGAGACATGGCTCTGCTTCAGTCAGTTTTAAACACAGGGCATTCTGAGGCGTCTGTGGCTGGACAGACAAGGAGCATGGTGTGACGCTCTTGCCTGTGGGTTGGGCCCACCTGTACATATGTACAGCAGAGTGTCTCTGCTGATGGTTGTTTTGTGTCTTTGGTTAAATTTGTCTAAAGATGGGGCATACCAGCTGCCCGTGGCAGGGATTGCAGGAACTTCCCAGCAGCTGCCAAGAGTTCTTAATCTTGGGGATCCTTCCTGCTCTCCTCTCAAGGCATCAGCCACTGGAAACTCTAAGCCAGGGAAAGTTCTTGTTTGTGATGTAACCTGGTTACTGATGTTCTTTGCTGGCTTTCTTATCTTTGGGGGACTTAGTTTGCTCTTCGCCAGTTTATGAACATAAGGAATCCTCTGTCTGTTGTCTGGGCTTTGTGCCGCTCAGAACCCATGCGCTGTGCTGGGTTAGTGTGAGAGAAGACTCTAAGGCTAATGTCCAGGCCACCCTTTTCAGAATGTTCATCTAGTCACTGTAGGGGCTTTTGTTTGCTTGTTGTTGTTTTTTTGTTGTTTTTTAAAGCTATCTTCTTATATGCAAGATTTCATGTTGTCAGTCTACTCAGAAATAAAGGTATGGGAGACAAACCTTCTGAACGCCCCCCTCCCCCCACAAGTTCTTTTCCTAAGAGGATCAGATCTGCAGAGGTGCCCTCCAGCAGACTACAAAAATAGCCGTGGAGGGCCACTTCCATCCTTGTAAGAAAAAATAAAAGAAAATAGTACTTTCACATGAAAGCCACCTAAGGCTAGTGAGTTATCCCTGTTAAAAAAAATTGGTCAAGAAAATGCCTTGGG